AGAACGTGTAAAAAATAATTGCAGGATACGTCCCTTGGCTTGATTTTATATTTCACTCACGTTATAATATGTGAATATTTAAACTGTGACAAAATTGAAAATATCAAATCTTTGGCTTCGAAGACAGAACAGATAAGTTACCTCTACAATTTTCTAAAACCTAGTCAACTTTCATCTCCACGTAATTTGCTTCCCTCAATAAATAAGAACAATATGGAGAAATTATATACTGGACTCGTGTGGTTATTAAATATTTGATTGTTTATTTTTAACCGTCTAATCACAAATATTTCACCCACGCGACATACATTTACGAAACAACATTGAATGTGATAACAAAGTACAATTGATCTAGAAGAGGATAACTTTCTGATATTTAATGGACATCTGACGAAGGATTGCATTTAGAATATTACATTTAAATTTATATCGATTATACACCTGAAGATGGTTCCTTGAAAACCGAAACATGTCGTGAAAAAGATGATGCTCTAATTGTAAATCGAACATTTCGATAGAAAGAGCATTATTTTAATATATTTTAATATATTTTAAATATAAAATGTTAATTATAGTAATAATATTTTAATATTTTAAGATTTAATTAAATATTTTATTGTGATTAGACGGTTAAAATAAACAATTATAATCATCACAATATGACGCAATAATATCATCTCATAAATATTGGGTGTTACCGCATTTGAATTTGTATTAATGACTTTGCGGTCACCCTGATGATAGAGGCAGCAAGCAACATCTACCAGAGTACACGGCTCAATAACCCAGAAGACAGACATCTTTATGTTCTCAGCTGTGAGGACTTGGAATACGACAAACCTCACGACAGGTTCGACGTTTCTGGAACAGCCTGTGGATAGAGGCGTAGTTGCGCAATCTGCCACTGAACTTCACTTATTTCTAATGCTCTATTATGTCGTTAGAACTTGTGGTTATGTGGAGTGGCGTATCACCCACCAGTCAGTCGGCCAATTCTGTGTGGGCCAGAGCAGCAGTAATGACAACTTCCTGGCTCTGAATTGTGAGAGCCATCTCCACTCGAACAGCTTTCGCCTTGGGAAGTTAATTTGGGGGAAAAATTTTAATTAATATCTCACGTACTTATCCCTGCACTCAGTTACGTGTCAGTAATGGAGAAAAATGGTTGAATGTAGAATCAGCACCACGCATTAATCTCGAGAGTCTATGGATGCGAGTAGTCTTATTTCTCTCTGACAAGTCTATTTCTTAGCAGAACATGGACTGAATTCTTCATGGTTAACTTTGTCATTCCCAAGATAAAATCATCGATATAATAATTTGAAACATGACACATAGCTAAACGTCTTCACAGTTGATAAGAACTAACTCTGTGGAATAAAATCCTTCTCGAAAAGTTCAGTTAATCAAGAAATTCCGCGACTTATTGAAAGCCGAAGGTTCATTACAGACGGAGCCAACGATAACGCGGTTGAAGTCTATTCAGGGAGTCGCAGTTTCAATTTAATGATGTCTCTATCATCAGGGACATCAAATTTTGATTATAGGTGCGGAGATGGTCCCTGAAACGTCGATTTTTAACGAACTGACACGGTTGATAGCCCAAAAATATTTTATTATCGATTGAGAAATTTTCCGATTGGCCTTGGAAACATCACGAAGCTAGAAAAATTGCGTTTTCTGGACTGACATGAACACCATTCTTCCCCTTGTTTCGTAACGCCCGTTGAAGAATTAATTCCTTAAATTGTAATTCGACACAGAAAATCCAGGATGAAACACTTGGAACTCCATCGGTATTAAATTCACTTGACTTGCTATAATTGACTGCCAGCTTAAGTGTAGTCTGCGTCATATATTACACTTGTGAGCGCGAGAGAATTTGATCAAGCTGATGAACTATCAGCTGAAACAACGGTACACATTATTTTCGTTGTGAAAACATAAACACCATCTCCAGAATTTACAATCCGTTCGCATTTACATCTGAATCGCCGAAGTACTCCGATGCGGATGATGTGAACAGCTGTCGTCATGAAATGATAATATTAAAATAAATCTTGAGGGCAAATTACGTAAGTTGTTGAAATATATTAATCTATAAAATAGTGTAGTTGCGTCATATTGTGATTTATTAAATTAAAATTAAATTATTTGGTTATTCCGTCAAATCACAATGTATTTAAAATAATATAATTAAAATAATTAAAATATCATTCTTTAATTGAATAAAAATTTACTTGGATATTATCCATCGTCTAGTAATAAAACGTAACTTTTCCAATTGTAAATCGATTATTCGATATGGAACAAAGAATGATATTTTAATTATTTTAATTATCTTATTTTAAATACACTGTGATTTGACGGAATAACCAAATAATTTAATTTTAAATTAATCTAGTTATAAATAGGGATAGTGGTGGGCTGTTGTGAACACGACCTCCGGGTTCCAAAATGGCGGTGAATTTCAGAAGGGCTCTACTCCATACAGTTAATTTATATAAACTACCAAGTTATTTAGTGTTGTGTCCTGTTCAAAAATTAGTATCTCGTCACTTGCATGGCAGGATTAACAGGCCGCCTATCGTGACTGGGACGTTTCATAATCTTAAAATAGGTCACGATCTGTTATGGTATGAATTTAATAAATATAATTATTGTACAGATAAAGCGTTCATAATTGAAACCACCTTCATTTTATAATTTTTGAATAAAATTACGAAAGGGACGAAGGATATTAAGAAGAATGAAAATTTAAGTCTGCAAGAGAAATCATTTCCCGTTAAATTTCAACGACAGTTGTACACTACTATGAAGAATAATATGAATTATTTGTTTATTTATTTGTTCTTTAAAATACCTCCCGACATTAAATCTTTCATTTACTTACTACTCTTGTAAGCTTTGAATATTTCTGACCTGCGACAACTAAAATAAGTTTATAATTGTAAGGTGCATTACTCTATTAGCCTTCATTCCCTCAATTAGGACAGCAGATGCGCTAAGAATGCCACGAGGTTGTCTTGTAAGAAAGTCTCAAATGAGAGCTATTAACTTGGAGAACACCAATTATGTTGTTAGGTTCGGCTTATACATAACACAGTTACGCAAGCAGTTGACGGTCGAACATCGAATACATTCGATACTCGATCGACAGTGGGCAACACCGCAACTGTGAGTCGTTCATAATCTTCATACGAATAAAGACAATAATTGGTAGGAGGCTGGGGTTTGAATTCTGGCAGACGATTAAAACTGGATTGATCTTTGCAGTTGTGTTCGTTTAGTGATTTTTTTCTGAACATGTCTTGCTTACAGAAGTGGACTATAATAAACAGGAAACACACTGAAATATGCACAAACTGGACGCTGACATGGGAGCCGGTGAAAACCCCACGGCCTGCAAGTAAGTTTATCAGTTACGCCTCAGCGAACTTCAGCCACGTCTTATCTCGTCCGTCTGTATATAAGATTAAATGTGTCACGTAACAATAACCTCCAAAGCTGTACATCATAAGATTACAAGATTATTGGCCCCGCTTCGCATTTGGAATCCTAGGTTCGAATCCGGTTCGAATGAATTCTGACTAAAATATATATAACCGGAAATTCCCAAAATCTATCTAAAGTACTCTGTAGGAGGAAAAACTATAAACTCCTGCTGCTGTTACGAGCTTCTAAAATCTCCTAGATCGAACTCGAAGAGACTGAGATTCTAAAATGAATCTACTGGAAAGTTAGGTTAGGTTAGGTTAGGTTAGGTTGGGTTACGTTAGGTTAGGTTAGGTTATGTTACGTTAGGTTAGGTTAGGTTACGTTAGGTTAGGGTACGTTAGGTCAGGTTACGTTAGGTTAGGTGAGGTTAGGTTAGGTTAGGTTAGGTTGGGTTAGGTTAGGAGCTTCTAGTTTTGCCTTGTACAAGCTAGAAATTGTGAGCGCACGAAATCTCTTACGGGGATTTACGATCTCTCATTCGGAAGCTGATTTCCCCAGCATCTTCCTTTGCAGGCCTCACCAGCAGAACGGTGATCGGAAGGAGGCTCGTAGAAGTGTCACCAAGATCTCTCTACACCAGTTGCCCGAACCTGACGGATCGCCACCGCTGGATGACTACAACCCACACTTGCACCGTGAAGTAGAGACCCCAACTACGTAAGTTACATTTCTTTACAGATATTCTGTTGTCAGGAGCTTTCGAATCCTGGCGGAGCACCTGTTAAAATAAAGAAATCTCACCAGCTCCCCGAAAAGACCGGCATTTTACAAAATGGTAAGACGGTTTCAAGCTTGGACGAATTCTTCGGCAGGCTCTTGTGAAAACAGTAGTACAATTTCGGGTTCTATTGAATGTTATGAATCTCCTGACCAGATTAAGTCTAATCCACACTTTGCAACCCCATTTTACAAAATTCCGTTTTAAAAATTTCAAGTAATCTCTTCCCTTCAAGGCATTGAAACAAAAACTTTGCACAAATTTCGTATCTCCCGTACGCGACTTGTCCTGCGTAACTTATCCTCCTTTGTTTAACGAAGATTTCAAATTACGGAGATCCTCATTAAGTAGTTTTCTCCAACCTCCAGTTACTTAATCCCTCTCAGATCCCAGCACCCTTTTCTCTTACACCGTCAACCTGTGTTCTACCCTTAATGTAAAATACCAAATTTTATACCCATACGAAACAATAGATAAAATCATAGTTAATCCGTCTTTAGTTTTAAGCATAAACATTAGAACAGCGTAGGTGTACGTATGTACATGAAACGATAAAATAGTTGAATGTATAAAACAGTGATTTCAACATCCCTTATCCCGCAGGAACGCTGAAACTCTGATCCACTTGTTGAAGGGGAGTCTGGGGACAGGGATCCTCGCCATGCCCAATGCCTTCTTCAAGTCGGGCCTGATTGTGGGCTTCGTAGGAACGATTCTGATAGGAAGTCTCTGTACCTACTGCATACACGTTTTGGTAAGTACGATTAAAGCAGGGAGATCAGTTCGACAAGAGTAGAAAGTGTACTCCAGATGGTGTACACATACTTTCCAAATACGCTTAAAGTTTGTTATACTGGCTGCAAAACCACTGCTAACAATCGTCTTTGGCCTAAATTTATTTTTCAGTGTCGTGTAGTTTTTACAGTAAAGATAGACATTGCACGATTTTCAACTTTTTAAATAAAAACGTTACCTGCAGTCCCACTAACCTTATTTGCGTATATAATAAAATGATATCAAATCTAAAACTTCTTGGCGATGGTGAAGAGTCAATTGAATAAAATTTTTGGATATTATCCATCGTCTAGTAAATATAAAACGTAAAACGACGTTTCGGAGATGGGACTCTATCTCCGTCTTCAGGTTCCTACACAGTTGGGCCCACTAGATAGAGCTAATCCCTATCTCCGGACCTTTTCCTTGGATATTATCCATCGTCTAGTAAATATAAAACGTAAAACGACGTTTCGGAGATGGGACTCTATCTCCGATATACATTACAGGTATGGACCTGGTGTACTTTTTAAATTCAGGAAGTTTGAACACGTAAAAATACAACTAGAACCTGAAGACGGAGATAGAGTCCCATCTCCGAAACGTCGTTTTTTACGTTTTATATTTACTAGACGATGGATAATATCCAAAAATTTTAATTAATTAATAAAATGATGTTTGCCGCGGTAAAAATGTTGAGGGATTTTTGGCCCAACAACCACACTGACTCCTACATTGTCACACATGGAAGTTCATTCTCTCCGTTAGAGGAAACGATCTACATACGTAAGAGTGGCTGTTGCAGGTGCGGTCACAGTATCGGATGTGCAGAAGTTTGAGGGTCCCTATCCTCAGTTACCCACGCACTCTGCAGCTAGCTCTGGAGCAGGGGCCGAGCGTGCTAAGAAGGTTCGCCTTATACGCGGGGTAAGCAACTACAAAATCTATCCTCAAATTGTGGTGAAAATTGGGAATTGCAAATGTACGTCTCTCATTCCCAAGTCTGTGGTTAAAACCCAGGCCGTGGAATATCAGACTTTACTTGTGAATTGTGTTGGATGCAAACGGTGATAATTTCTTATATATTATTTTAAACAAAACTACAATTTTTTTTTGTTTTATATTAATATGAAGATCGTATATTATCTTCAAAGCACAGCGGCGATGTAATATAACCCTTTGAATCCGAAGCTTGTCTAAATATTATTTAATAAATCGGTCCGTACCGCGAAGAAAACACAACACTTCACCATTACAAAAGACGACTGGTTGACGCTGTTTAAGGAAATAATCCCTGTTTACACTGAGAACAATACGAAACCCATACATACAAAACGCACAGTTATTAACTGTGTAAATAAGGTGGTACATATAATTACCACTGGGTCTTAAATGGTTAAATATTGTCTTAAAGAACTCTGCATTTTATTAAAGAACGTATTTGTGGGTTTAATTTGATTCTCGGCGATTATTTACGTTACAGCATTAACCGACTGAACTTTGTAATTGAGACGAGTTGTGTTTCCTTTAGGGTAGGAAAATTAATTTTTAAATATAATTTCGACGAACTTCGTGCTTCAAAGGGGTAAGCGATAAACATTAACCAAAGGTGTTTTAGAACAAAGTGTGAACGGGGATATCTAGATCTTCGGGAGATTAAGAATAAAAATACTGTACAAAATTACATAACCAGAGAGCGTTATAATGCACACCCTTAACCTAATGTCATTAGAGTAATTATGTAAATTAGGATGCTGTAGGGAATTATCTGGATCATCTGCCAAGAACGTATATGAACAGGTCCCAGTCCGAGAAGAGGATGGAAGGATCCTGTTCATATGGACCTGTCGTCAGACAGAACACTAAATAATAATAAGATGAGGTGGTCTAGCGGTTAGAACGCTGGCCTTGTAATCCTGGGGGGTCTCGGGTTCGATTCCCGGCGGTGCCCCAATTTATAACTTGTGTTGGGCAAGGCCGTGGTCTAGGCAACACGGAATTTTCCTCCGGGGGCTTCCCCGGTTTCTCCGTGGCATCCCAACAATTACTCCATCCACACACAGAAGAAGGCAATGGAAAACCACTTCTGGATCATCTGCCAAGAAAGTATATGAAAAAAATTAAATCTTGTCCGTCTAATCACAATAAATTCTTATGGTCTAATGTAAATCGAATATTTCGATAAAGAACATCATTTAATATTTTAAATATTTTAAATGTTAATTATTGTAATATTTTAATATTTAATAAGAATTTATTGTGATTAGACGGACAAGATTTAAACAATATATTTATTATATCACAATATGACGCAACTTTACCATCTTATCATATATTAATCTTTGCAGAATTTTCATTCTGGAGACGAAATGAAACCCCGAAAATTCACTTTGTTCTTTATGCTCTGATATTTAAGGCAGGCGTTAGACGTGTTTGCCAATGTACAGAATAATAGTTTTAATGTATCTGTTTCACCTGTTTTATGTTAGTCGCCACGAAGACAATGTAAACACAGCAAATTCCTAGCTGGTACAGGATCAGAAACGCATTCACAGCACCACTGAAAACAAGATGAAATGTTTCAGTTAGTTGTCCTGTTTTGAGCAACACAACACATTACTAGGCGTATAATTACACCACAATACCTCTTTAAAATGCAGGTGTCCTTGTGATAGGAAAATGTTTTGTTTTTAAGGAACCATTGTTTGTTTGTTTTGTATGTTTTACATATATAGGGTATATTTGTTTATTTGTTTAAATCTTGTCAGTCTAATCACAATAAAATTCCTATTAAAATATTACTATAATTAACATTTAAATATTTAAAATATTTAATATAGTAATATTTTAATATTTAATAGGAATTTTATTGTGATTAGACTGACAAGATTTAAACAAATAAACAAATATACCCTATATATGTAAAACATACAAAACAAACAAACAATGGTTCCTTAAAAACAAAACATTTTCCTATCACAAGGACACCTGCATTTTAAAGAGGTATTGTGGTGTAATTATACGCCTAGTAATGTGTTGTGTTGCTCAAAACAGGACAACTAACTGAAACATTTCATCTTGTTTTCAGTGGTGCTGTGAATGCGTTTCTGATCCTGTACCAGCTAGGAATTTGCTGTGTTTACATTGTCTTCGTGGCGACTAACATAAAACAGGTGAAACAGATACATTAAAACTATTATTCTGTACATTGGCAAACACGTCTAACGCCTGCCTTAAATATCAGAGCATAAAGAACAAAGTGAATTTTCGGGGTTTCATTTCGTCTCCAGAATGAAAATTCTGCAAAGATTAATATATGATAAGATGGTAAAGTTGCGTCATATTGTGATATAATAAATATATTGTTTAAATCTTGTCCGTCTAATCACAATAAATTCTTATTAAATATTAAAATATTACAATAATTAACATTTAAAATATTTAAAATATTAAATGATGTTCTTTATCGAAATATTCGATTTACATTAGACCATAAGAATTTATTGTGATTAGACGGACAAGATTTAA